AGGGCGAAGTAGCTTTCGTTACCACCGGAGCGGGGCCCGTTGGCTCGTCAGTTTTCCTAATCTCTTTCAGTGAAGCCGAAATAAATCAATTGAACTGGCGTACAGGATGGTCATTCAACTCGCGAAGCAGGATGGCCTCAAGGTCATTGCGTCTGCAGGCTCTGAGGACAAGGTCAAGTTCATGAAGGAGCTTGGCGCTGATGTCGTATTCAACTACAAAACGACGGACGTACGCGCGGTGCTGGCGAAAGAGGGACCCATCGACGTGTGCGTTTGAACCTACTGCACGGATAATTTAATTTGAACATGACCGCAGATTTTGGGACAACGTCGGGGGAGCCCAGCTCGATGCCGCTATGGAGTTTGCAAGGATGAATGCACGGATCATTGTGCGTTTTTTTAATGATGAAGTAGACTCTAAGCTAACGCACCTGCAGGAATGCGGGCAGATCTCAGGTACATAACATATAACCAGGTTGGCTCTCCCAATCTAATTAACGGGCAATATGAGGGTACAACGGCGAGCCACTGCCGATGAAGGTCGGTACTTTATTATATTGCCTCACGCCACAGATCTTACCACTACACACAGAACCCCGGCCTCATTTTCTCCAAATGCCTGCACCTCCACGGGTTCCTCGTCGGGTACCTGCGTGAAAAGCACGACGCGGCGTTCCGCGCAGAGTTCGTGCCAAAGATCGCCAGTGGGGAGTTCAAGTTCACCGAGGACGTCACCCGTGGGTTGGACAAGGTCGGCGATGTATTGCTGGCGGTGCAGAAGGGGACGAACACTGGCAAGGCGGTGGTGGTCGTGGCGGACGAATAATTCAACACAGAGGGAAAAAGAGTGGATATTGTACTTGTATCTCCACGCACATCACGAGCCACGTCTCGCACAAAACAATCCATATGGTCCCAACTCCTGAAATTGCTTATTTTCGAAACAATGCGACCTGAGGTCGTTTATAAAGACGAGAATGACCGCAAATATTTCCGCCCTACTGCACAAAAGTCAGAATCTTGGGCTGAATCTCGCGTAGGGAATTCGTTAATGCTCCAGCCGTTAATCACGGTCTGAGCGCGCCGCTACCGATTGGAGCAGACGGAAGCTTGCCTGTTAGCTAAAAGGGGGCAGATGAATGCAATGCTGACGACACTGTGGATTTACTGTAATTTGACGGGAGCGTCGACAATGTGGCCTGAAACGCGCGCAAATCGACCGGTTACTTGCACTCTCTTCTCGTCGCGTAGACGCCGACGCGCACGTGACCGCGTGTTCGAGTCGACTGTCACTCAGCTGAGAGGCAGAGAGCGGCACTTTGAGTCTGACGCTCCAGCCCGGCGGCTGCCTCGCGGGATCCAGCTCGGATACTCCAATAACGGGGGGAAAAAAATAGAGCACTACTCAGAGGGAACACAAAGGCTCTGGAATTCACGTCTACCTCGCGTATGCCCAACTCTCGATACAGTAACCGGCAGCAACGGCGAAGCCCAAGCACAAGCACCGACTGCATTGCGCTCCCCTTCTCCCTCGTCCCTCGTCCCACCCGGACTCCCACACACCGCACAAATTGACAATTCGGCGTTGGCGCCGCATCGCGTATGAAGATGTACAGCGCCACTATCATCTTCGGGCACGCGCAGCGACTCAGCACAAACACGACTCGTTGAGCGCGCAGATCTCCGTTTCCTCTCCCTCTCCCTCGTCTCCACCGTACTCGTGCAGCAATACCACCTACAGTGCGGGGTGGTACGTATTACAGCGCCAGCATCAGCTTTCGGCGACGTCGCAATGGAGAATGCCGCCCTGAATGCGCCTTGAAGTTGGGGCTGCTCAGTGCTGTCCCACCGCACCCGCTTGTCCCTAGCCCGCGGAAAACGTGAAGAACCCAGTGGAGGAGGTGGGCAGCGACTGACACGCGAGCTCCTCGCCCTGTTCGTTCTCCTCCTCCTCCTCCGTCCCCACCCTGTTTGCAGAGCAGTTGGTATCGCCGCGGGCGACTGCGACTGCATCTCCCGCTGCACACACACACTTGCTCTGCGTGCGATGCGTCATTCCCCTCCTCTCCCCTCGCTCCCGCTCATGGTGCCACAATTTCCCCCTCCGCCCGCGCGCTCTCCGCGATTATTCACCCCGGTGGTCCCTCGTCTCGGAACAGACCCCAGCCAGATAAGCGACGCCACGTACGTAGCACGCACGCGCGCGCTATGTGCACTGAAAACGGGCCCGGCAATTGGGAAAGATGAGCCTGAGGCGGTAGGATGCAGAGGAGCGGGTGGTGGGGTCGCCGCCGTGAGGGATTCGATAAGCACCGGGCACGCTACGACAGGGGTGCGCGGGGACATATCTATTCGGGTTTCTGTGTGCGCTGTCGCGGATCCGTCTCCTCCACCGCTCTCCGCCGGCTGCGGGAAAGTGACAGGCGTGCGGGCAGCACCCTGAACACCGATGCGCGCGGGCGCATATGGCACCACTACCAGCGCGGCGATACGGTACCACCTCGTGCGCTGCGACCATGCAGTGCGCGCTCCCTGCAAACGTGGCACGCGCGCAACGCATCCGCATCGTCCTCCGACTTCCCAGGATTCAAGCAAACGCGCGGGGTGGTGTCGGCGCGTCCTCGTTCCTCCTTGCCCTGTACCGACCGGGCTCACGGTGCGTCGTGCGTCGTGCGGGCGACGGAGGGCAAAGTCGCAGGCGTCGGTGCCCAGTCTAAAGCGATGTCAGCATCGTCGTATCCTTATTACTTCTCGGCAACAGCATCATTGATCGAACGGGCGTCCGCGAGGTGTGTGGCGCATGTGCAAAAGACAGCGCTGAGGATTTGAGCCAAGGACGGCGCCGCCTGAGCCGAGGACAGAGGCTGGTGGGTGGGCGGTTGGCATCACCACCAAAATGTTTGCGTCCACGTGGCCGACAGACGTCGGACATTGCAAAAGGGGCGCGCGCTGGCTTGGTCGACGGTGCGCACGGAGTCCTCGTCCTCGTCCTCTTTGCCCTCGTCCTCCTTGCGTCGTGCGTCCTTCTCCCGGAAGTCTTCGTCGGCGCGGGCGCGGGTGTGGGGCGACAAGGCAAGGCAGCGGGGAAGTACTGAGTACCGAGTACTTCGGTCACTCAGTGCTGAATAAAGTGTCAAGTGCTGAATAAAGTGCGCTATAACCGTGCACCACGGCGTCCTGGCGCGAGGATGCCGATGCAGGGCTACGAGTCAGCGATATGCGTGCGAGTGGGAGGATTGAATCGGTAACACACCAACACCATTCAAGCTCCCGCGCGCGGGGCTGCCCTCAATCTTCACATCCTGGTCTTCGCCGCGATCGTGCTATGCGCGTACTTATGCGCGTTTTGGCCCCGGTCTTCGTCTTCGTTGGAGATGCACGGGCCAGGTGCGTGTCGCTGGCGAGGAGGGGAAGGAGGGAATCAGGGATGCAAGAGTGTAAGGCGTAAGGCGCGTATGGTATATCCGAAGCGAGAAATAGACATCGCCCTGCGGGAGCCCGGAGTGGGACCTCGGATTGCGCGTGCCGCCCGCGTACACCGTTCTGCCGCCCTCGTGCTCGGACCCGGGACTTGAGGTGAGGACGAGGACGAGCATGAGGATGGGACTTGATGCGAGCACGAGCACGAGCACGAGCACGGACTTGTCGAGCACTGTTGTCGGGTACCCTCCTGTCACCGTCACCGACATCGCCTTGCGCCGGCGTTCCACGTCACTCTCTCCCCGCGCCGCGCGCGTGCCTCCCGTGCTCCCACGGCGGGCTGCGGCACCGGCAGAGTCATTCTCGCTGCAGACATGAGACATGCAGCGGTGCGCCATCGGGTGAGGCTCTGCCTCCTCGATGCTGAGTACTCCCACCGCGAACGTCGGCAGTGCGGAGGCCTAGTGGCAGTACGAGTACCGAGTACCGCACTGCGAGATCGCGTGCCAGCGCTCGGAGTCCCCACCCCGCAATATGCATCGATTTCTTTGGTAGAGACGCAGCGATTGGGGATGCGATGGGTCTATGAAACGCAGGCGCCGGATTACCCTACGCTGCATCTCCGCAGACAGACACAAGACGAGCGGTAAACGGGCCCGAGAGCATGGTCGCGGCCCGATAGCACTCATGGCAGGCGCGACGAGATGACGTGTGGGTGCGGCGGAGGAAACGCGGGCGCGGGCGCGAATTTGGAGCTCGCCAATGGGGGAGGCGCCGAAGATAGGCGACAGGACTGAGAAAGTATCGGTCAGCGACACTGTAGAGGGTCTACAACGAAAGGGGAATCGGGACGAGAGTAACGCAGGACTGCACGGTGCGCCGATTCTCGCGCTCCAAGCCATGGAACAACGAAACGGAACTCGCCGGATCCACGACGATAACCCGGTAACCGTCCCCACCCGTGTTAATACGCCAACGCCCACCCAAACGCTAGCCCGCACGCCAGCTCACCGCAGGCTCGCGCGGTGGAAGGCGTCATCCGCTTCTAAGTTCTTCATTTGGAAAAACACACGCCATCGATGCCCAGGTATGCGGCGTGTTAGGAGAGGGTGGAAGCCAAGAGGCGGAGAGCTCCGGGCAATAGGAGGGCGAGGTCGCTGAAGAGGAAACATGGTGGCCGATGACAATCAGGGCGGAGAGCGATTTGCTGGCGGCTGCAGGACCGAATGCGAATGCCGTCTTGGTGATTTAATGCGGCTCCTCGGGGGTCCCAACAACTTGGTGCTTGAATGGATCGGCCATCTTCCGAAACAAAGTCGTACAGTGAACCACAGTTCAGCCAAGGAGAGCGAGATTCGACGCGGTGGTGGTTGGCAGAAAAGCACGAGGCAACAAAACATAGCCCAACAACGCGTCACGTCTGCCCAACCACTCCTTCTTGTATTCCCTTTCTAGGCATGGGAAAAATCGACACACAAAAACCCATCTCGGCCTTGCGGTAGAAAAAGTTCAAAACAGGAGGGGGTTGCAAAAAAAGAAAAAAGAAGAAGAAAAAAAAGGGGGCGCGCCACCAAGCCACACGGCCCGACCTTGATTCGAACAAGGAACGCCCTCATAACTTTACCAAGCAATTGTTAAGAGAAGAGGGTGTGTAACCATTACACCACCGGGCCCATGGACATCACGATCCAGTTGCGCACTTGGGTCTGTCGGTACAGCAGCGAACGAAGTTAAACGAACGACTTGAAAATCGAACCTGCCAATATTTGCGTGAAATGGCGCTTCTGATCGAGAGAAGTGCGACTTTCTGCTGCTGCCGCATTGCGATCCAGTAATCATGTCTGTTGCCGTTTTTCAAGTTGTTGCAACGATTAGACGCGGCGTTCGATTCCGTAATCCGCGCCGGCGCCGGTGCATTCGACAAAAAAAAAACGGCCTTGGGGAAGTCAAAAAGTTTCGACGTTCAAAACATGAGGGTGAAAAACTGGATGATCCGTGGTGGCATGACCCGACCTTGGTTTGAACAAGGAACACCCTCGCAACTACTTATACATGACCAATATCAATAGAAGAGGGTGTGTTACTATTACACCACCGGGCCCACGGTCATCAGAGCTCACTCTTCCCTGGCATTTGGGTCAATCAGTACGGCAGTTGACAGGGCCGGGAACCGAACTTGAATCTCATTGGCATGGCCTCAACCGCTCAAGTGCCGATATTTGCTTCAATGGCGCGTATTTTTTTGATGTGTATCCCGAGATTCCAAGATGTACAAGCTTGCCGTATTGCGAGCCCATAGGCCGTACTTAAAAAATTGAACAAGGAGGGTACATATAAGCATCGGTGGTGTGACACGCGGCACCATGCAATGATATTCGTTTACAGTAACACCGCCGTTCGTGGCGATGGTGAGACGTGGTTGGATTCCACGCCGGTGCATGGAACAGTTCCTTTGCTTTTTCTCTTTTGGTGCCTGGACATATGTACCTGAACTCCAGAGAAAGGCTTGGATGACGCAGGACGTGCCTCGCCGTCGATCCTTATTTATCGGTACTGGTGGGATGCATATTCAAGTTGGGGTCGGCTCGGGTTCGAAGGTAAGGGTATAAGCAGCGGTGGTGCATAGAACACCCACCGTGACATTACAGTTGATTCGTAGGTCATATGGTGAGCCGGCGTCGATGGGTTCGATTCCCCACCGGTGCCACATTCGGATCGTCCAAGACATTTTTTTTTAGGTTCTGTTTTCCGCCGTCTTCATCCGAGACACAATGCGCAGAACGCGCCGCTGCTCACGCCCCGCGCACCCTGGCGATCGCGACGCACGCCGGATATCAAAACCATCACACAAAGTCCATATCCCGCTCTACATGAACATTCTCCGCGCGATCCTCTGCATCCTCGTCTCGCAATCCCCTAGCGGACGCCGGCTCAAATCGTCAGCCCCGTCGCAAACAAGCGCCCGAGTCGCTGAATGCGCGGGTTCGGACCATACTAGTGCGCCGACAGAGGCTCGGGCGCCTGCGGTGTCCCCAGGAATGGAAGAGGTGGGATCGACGACGGCCGAAACACCGGCCCGAGCTCCCTCGACCTTGCCATGCTCGAGACCGCCACGGTCGCGGGCAGCTGCATCTCCTGCCCTACTGCTACGCGGGTCTCTTAGCCCTCATCGCTCCCCCATACCCATCCACCAAAACGTCAACGCCCCCCCACTCCACACGCCCGCGCCGGCGCACCCCACCACGGGTCTATGCGTCATCCCAAGAGGCACAAAGTACTCTGAAGGCGGAGCTATTACACGGACCCTGGCTCGAAACGCCAGCGCCAGCGCACTCGCACGGTCTCTTTCTTATCCGCACGCAGCGGCGGGCACGCGCGGCCGCATCGTACACTCACTCAGCCCTCTCGCTCCCGATTCCACACCGCCTTTTCCTTTCCTAACAAACACCGGCTCGAAACGCCAGCGCCATCCGGTGCACACGACATGCACAGTAGCGTAGCAGCACGGGCATAGACTCTTCGTCCTGCTGCGGAAATAACCCCGGATGCGGTGGAGGCTTGCAATGTGCGTTCCTTTAGCGTGTGGACAAGGGGGTGCGGCAAACTGGCGCGGGACAGACGTCAGACGTCGAGGGGGAACGGTCGCCGAGGAAGGAGTGCCGCCGTAGTGCTGTATGCTGTACCTATGCAGCAGGAGGCTTCTTCGCTTGCTCATCCTCCTTATCCAGCGCATCCATCCACCGAACGCAGACGGCCGGCGACACACACACTGCAAACGAGCCTACCCATGGCGTCGTCACGGGGCGTCGCGAAGAATAGTCCCCAAGCACACCTTGCACGATACGACCCGGCTGCGGCGGAGGGCTGGCGTCGGTGTCTGCGTGGGTGGGGCGATCATGAGACGTGGGGTGTCCGCGTATTCATTCTTCCTCGGCGTCATTACTAGAAGAGGGTCCGCAAGGAAACGCATGGAGCACAGCGTCGAGGATTGAATGGAGGCAGGATTATGACAGGAGTGACTTGAGTCGAGGACGACGACGACGAGGAGGACGAGGACGGTGGGTGCCAATGGACGGCAAAGTATGGGGTCAGCGTCCTCGTCCTCGTGCTCCCGCTCCCCACATTCAACTGTCTCGGCAGCACCGCCTTCCGCCGATCCCATTTCGACCCCGAATGCCAGCGCCACCGCGTCGCGGTGCACGAGCCCCAGCACTGTGTCCAGGTCCTCGTCCTCCGAGAGCTCTTGCTGACGTGCGGCGGCTGCGGCGTGTCTTGTGTATTGTCCGAGAAGATGCTGCGGACGAGGAAGCCCACGCCGGCGTCATGCATTTTGCTGGCGCAAGATGTCGATGTCGATGTACACCGGGCTTGAGGACTTGTAGATGCAAGAAGGCTCCGGCACGGCTGCGAGGTACGAGGGTGCGGATCCACGACGCGAGCACCATTCACCACACCCACACCATCGCGCTGTCCTCAAGATGGCGACTATCCCCCGCTCCGAGCGCTCCTCACCCTCCTACCGATCCCCTGCATGTCCCTGCGCACGCTGGTTCCCCGCACCACCCCGCACGTACACGTCTTCGTCCTCGAATTCGCCCTCCCAAGGAGTCTCCACGCAGAGGGCCCGCGCGAGCGGCGGCGGCGGCATTGCAGCGTATTGTCCGGTGTATGCGAAGAGATGCGGAGGCGCGGGGTAGAGTCCATACGTGTGATGATGCCACTTAAGGCTTGGGCCGAGGACGACGCTCGGCGAGCGTATGAGTCTAAATCGTCGCGCTCACGCTTCTGATTCGCAAATCTGCAGCAGCATCGCGCCACACACAGGGCGCGGAGGACGGACCCCGCGCTGGCTTGGTCGCAGCGCGCCAGTTTGGCTTTGCGCAGAAGCACCGGCGCTGGGTCCTCGTCCCCGTCGTCGTACGCGTGCGCGGTTTCGGTTTCCGAATGTCTTCGCAAGGCTGGGGGGGAGCGGGATTGCGGCGCGGACTTGGAAATGCAGCGAGATGGGGCGGCGGAGAACCACGACGCCTCGTGTAGAATAGACGACAGCCTGCGGGCTCCAATTCGGCCGATTGATCATGAGCGTGTAGAGGTGGCTTCCGGACGGCTACCAAGTGTAGGTCAGCGATGGGCGATGGTATGGCACATCTGACGAACGAGGGAAACGCACCATCCGGCGCAGGGCGCGATCCATAGCTTCCTTCTTCATTCTTCATTTATCAGATCCCATCCTCGCCGGCCCTTGCTGAGTTCAGGACATCCATCACAATCTCATCGTGACCACGTCATCGCGGACGCTGACTCGCACGCGTCCCCGCCCCCGCCCCCGTCCCCCTCGTCCTTGTCCTCGCTCGTGCAGGGATAGCAATGGGAAATGGGCCGGAGCTCGGATTCGATGGTGGAGGGCAAGAGAATGAAAGAGGGGTAGGAGGATGAGGATCCAGTGCGGTCCGCAACGAGCTAGGGAGGGCGTGCGCCGAGAGGAAGAGAGGGCGAAGGCGGTGTGTGCGGTGACGGTGAGCGTTCCGCTGCGATGACTCGTTTGTGCGCGTGCTTTGAAACCCATTTCCGCTGGATATGCACGCATAGTGTGATTGGTGAGGAAGGGATGCAAGAGAGGGATCCGAAGCGAGACATGCGGGAGTTTGTATGTGACGCCCGGAGTTGCGTACACTGTGGCGATCGTCGTCCTTCTCCGCCTGCGCGCGAGGAAGTGGTGTGAGGACGACGAGGATGGGAGCGACTTGTCGAGCATTGCTTTACCCGCCCGCGCGGGGTCGCGTGTGCATTCCAAAACGGCGCAGACTCCGCCGCGTCCCGTCCGTGCCATCTTGCGCTTGCACAGAGTCTTGACTCTTTCGTCGCTGCGGACATCGACCACAAAGAGAGCTAGAGTGAGACTCTTCATTGTTTCAGGCGGGCAGGGATTCTGGGTAGCGTCTTTGCGACTTCGACCGTCGCGCCAACGGAGCGCGATGGTTTGGCTCAGAATGGGGTACGTAAGCAGGCACGTGAGGGACAAACAAGGCAGCACAACGCGTCACGTCTGACCACTTCATCCCTCTCGAGATTATGGGAGGCTGCGAATTTGGATTTCTTGGTTGCTGCACCAGAATTCCCTGTGTCTTAGGGAAACACGGCCCACTCACGACTTTGCCTATTTGGGAAGAGTCGGCTATCAGCCGGGTCAACGGGCTAATGGTCCGCCAACCCAATCCGGCGACACGACGCACAGTTTGTTGAAGGCCATTTTTCCTGTATGCCACCGCGAGAGAAGAGTGCGAGATAGATGGTGTAATGGTGGTAAAATGCAGCTTTATCACCAGGAAAGCGTGCAGAGGCACTGGGGAAATTCGAGACCCGTTGCCGATCATGTCGACGTTCCTTGCGTTTCTTGCTCGGACAAGGTATATAGTGGATGTTTTATATTAGAGAACATGGACGTTGGTGTATGGGGACTAAGTGGTGTATAAGGACTAAGTCTATGGCACCGATGGCATGGAAGGTGCACGATGGCGGCGGTGGCACGACCAAGTCGGACCAACGCGCGCTGTGCCGAGTCCCGACTGCCGTGGCTGCAAGGGAAATTCAGTACTCACAAGCTCGTGAAGGGAGATGTTGGGGACGATGAGGAAGGGTGAGCAGGCTGGGGAATGAGCTGCAGAACGTTCGCCGTGGTGGTTAAAGGAAGAAAGCAGACAATGGCTCTCCATTGATTGATGGACGCTGATGCAGTTGATAGCCGAACGTCCCGTTTTAGGCAAGCCGTGGGTCGGCCTACATTCCGTGTCGTAGAATGCTTCAGAAATAGAGGGCCTGGGCAAGCGCATCAGTGGTGTATGGAACACACACCAGTAGCATGATCTTTATTGCTGGCGTTGCAACGGTGAGACGGCGTTCGATTCCCCGCCGGTGCATGTGTATTCCGTCAAACAGTTTTTCTTCCTTTCCTTGGCATTCATACCGAGCAACAAGGCCCATTATAGAAAGCTTGAAAGATGCACCATGAGTGAATATGGGACGTTCGCGTGAATTTAGTTAGTGGTGTGATGGGGATCGATGACCGTCATCAACCTTCTTCAAACCAGGCTGACACCGAGATCAGGTTCGAAAGAAAGGATATGAGCACCGATTGTGTATGGAACACACACCAGTAGCATGATTCTCTTTGCCGTCGGTGCAACGGTGAGACGGGGTTCGATTCCTCGTCGGTGCATTGGGTAGGCTGATGCAAACATTTTTTCTTCCTTTTTCTTGTCCTACCCAGCAAGGGGAGTCATGTTCATAGAAAGCTTGAAAAATGCGGATGAGTACGGGAATTTATTATAGCGCTGACTCGGAGATGGGGATCGATGACCGTCATCATCGATTCCAACCTTTTCCAAACCAAACTGACACCGAGATCAAGTTCAACAGAAAGGACATGAGCACCGGTGGCTAATGGGACACGCACCAGCATGATGAATCAGACACGCCATATTGCAACGGTGAGACGGGGTTCGATTCCCCGCCGGTGCGTGGTGGACATGGCCGCATTTTCTTTTCTTCATTCAGAACAAGATTGGGAGGTCTGTATGAAGGTTCTGAACAGAAGGATATAAGCACCGGTGGTTAATGGAACACGCACCAGCATGATGAATCAGACACGCCATATTGTAACGGTGAGACGGGGTTCGATTCCCCGCCGGTGCATGATGCCGGAATGGTCTCTTTGTCTTCATACAGAACGAGATTGGAAGGCGTATCGGAAGCCTCTAAACAGGAGGGTATAAGCATCGGTGGTGCATGAAGCACGCACCAGCATGATAGATCGATTTCGGCCATGATGCATGGTGAGACGGTGTTCGATTCCCCCCGGTGCTCTGGATGGGTTGTTTCCAACCACTTTTTCCTCTGCTTTCTCGTCCTAGCCTAAAAAATGCACCAATCGAGGAGTAGGGGACGTCCGTGTCGATTTATTATACTCGACGGTGTGATGGAATTATTTTAAAAAAAAAACACCAGGGATGGGTTCGAAAGGAATGATAGGAATGAGCACCGGTTGTGTATGGGACACGCACCTGCCAGATTTCATAGAATTGCATGGTGAGACGGGGTTCGATTTCCCCCGGTGCATGACAGTGCGGGTCGTTTTTCTTCTTCTTGTTTGCTGACATCCCAGCCACCAAGGGTTTGATTCTTGCCCATACTCGAAAGGTTGGAGGAAACCAACTCTGGTCCACCGCGCGAGCTGATCGCGTAAATTTATTACCCTCGTGTCCCCAGCTGTTCAGACAAAGTCGAGACCGAGATCAAGTTCAACAGAAAGGATATGGGCACCGGTTGTGTATGGAACACGCAACAACATAGTCCGATGGCGATCTGTCTACGGTGGTGAGTCGGGGTTCGATTCCCCGCCGGCGCATGCGTTGTGATAATGGTTTCTTTTTCTCCATGCAGAACAAGATTGGAAGGAGTATATGAAGGTTCTGAACAGGGGATTATAAGCACCGGTGGTGTACGGAACACACACCAGTAGCATCGCTCTCTTTGCCGTTGCAACGGTGAGATGGGGTTCGATTCCCCGCCGGTGCATAACGCGGTCGAGTCTTTTTTCCTCACACAGAACCAGTACAGAACAAGTTGAGGGTGGAGCATGGATGCTCCACGCAGGAGATATATGCACGGAACACGCACCTGGTGGACAGCCCAAAAATCTGCAACATTGCACAGAGTCGGGGTTCGATTCCCTGCCGGTGCATGCCACTGCATGGTGGACATGATCGCGGTTTCTTTTCTTTATGCAGAACAAGATTGGTAGGAGTACATATATAAAGCTTCTGAATAGGAGATTGTAAGCACCGGTTGTGGACGGAGCACGCATCACTGGCAGCATGATAGACAGAAACCGCCACATTGCAACGGTGAGACGGGGTTCGATTCCCCCCGGTGCCTATTACGTCTACGTTCAACCACTTTTTTCTTCTTTTCCGCGTCGTACCCAACAAGGGGAGTCGTGTCGAATATAGAACGAATGCACCAATAGGTGAATGGGATGTTTGCGTGAATTTAATATAGTCGTGAGATGGGCGTCATCGATTCCAACCTTTTATGAACCACGATATCGAGAACAGGTTCAAGGACAGATATGAGCACCGGTTGTGTACGGGACACACACCAGCATGATAGAGGTGCCGATCGCCGATGTTGCAATACTGCAGTGAGACGGGGTTCGATTCCCCGCCGGCGCATGATGAAGCCTCATGATAGCAGTTTCTTTTTCTTCATACCGAACACTGGTGTTGTGAGAGTATATGGAGGTTTTGAACAGGAGAGTATTCCTGGTACCGTTTACGGAACCAGGTCTCAAAGTCGAGAAGCAAAATCGCCGATCATACAAATCAATCGCATAACAAACTAAAGTAATTAAATAAATAAAAGGGCAATCAATCCGTGTATGGAAATGCAGTGCACAAAATAAGGTGAAGCAAATAAAAATCCCAACGAGAGAGTGCGCGCTCTGCGCGCACAAAGCACGCTCATTGGCGTGCAAATTAGGGAGCTGGTTGACCCAAAGTTCATGCATGTACAGTTATGGAGTGCGCAGTTTAGGCAACATGAACATCGATCAAACTGTTGAGGAGTTGTCTTTTAAGTCCGGCCGGTATGGCGGTCGGAATGCACTTTTATTAAAATCACTATAAAATGTTCATTTTCATCGTAAAATGTCAAATTTGGACTCACAATGTTGAGAAACCACAAGTTTGTTTGTTTTGAGTGCAAGAAGCCTCTGTTCATTGGAAGTTCGGAGCCGACTTCGAGAATATGTAGTTCAACTTTGGTTGTGTAAACTTTCTGTCCGAGGAACTTTGTATAAAGTGTCTGAGAAGTAAAACTTTGTATAAAGTTGGACCGTTTTTTGAATGTACAAAGTCGGTATGAAGAATTGTACATCGTCGCCGTGAAGACTTTGTATAGTGAGCCCAGTGGTATCACTGATGGTAAAGTGATGGCATCACCGGCCGGATGGAGGACATGTTTTGGGGTCATCAACACCACCGTGTGTAGGACTCAGAATGGTGATCCTGCCCCCCTTGACGCTTTTCAGCCCCCAGATTTGGCTCCCGGATGGATTCGAATCGATAGACGGAGGGAAGGGCTCGATGCCGGGCCCGCCGAAATGATCCGTGCTACGCCAGCACCGCCACCCATCACTGATACCGCCGCACAAACTTTATACAAGGTCTCCACCGCCGACTTTACACAATTCTACGGTGCTCAACTTTACACAAACTTTGGTTTTCAGACATTTTATACAAAGTTCTTCAGACAGAAAGTTTATTCAAAATTTGAGACCCAAAATTGAACTACACATTGTTGAACTTGGCCGCAGACTTTTAGCTAACTGAGGCTTCTCCCTCTCACAGTGAATGAAATCATAAGATTGTAAGTGAAATTTGGGCATTTTACCATGAAAAAAGACATTTTATAGTGATTTGATTTGATTAAAAGTGCATTCTGACGGCCATAGGCCGGCAGTATTCCGGGCTACGTACGTGGATGTGTCGACTCTCCAGGAAGATGAAAGAGAACTGTGGATAATGCTTTCAAACTGGCAGTTATATAAGCCCAACAACATCAATGTTGAAGTAAGTAAATCCTGGCATCTCAAACTGTCTCTGGCACCCCTGGAATCAAGTTTACTAACCTATGAAAGTGCGGGAATTTGAACGAGACGGTGTCAGAGGCATGACAAGTACAAAGGTTTCTCCTCTGTAACAAGAACAGAGTCTTTGTCAAGTCGTATAGCATCCGCCGGCTCAATGTGAGCTGGTCGACGCTTGCGCGGGCGGGCAAATCGTTGAGCAGGTTCAAGTGCAAGAGCAAGATACCACGTGTAATTCTGAATGAACAGGCAGTGAACAGGAATCAAGCGCCCATGAGGACCAGGAAAATTGTTGAGAAGTGCAATGTTCTGTATGTTCCCCAATGTAATAGCAGTTGTCTGAGAAGAGGTACCAGGGGTGCCCGGAGGGCCTTAATATAAGCATCGGTGGTGGAAGGAACACACACCAGCACTGTAGGGGTTGTCCCTTCAAGTTGTTGCAATGGTGAGACGGGGTTCGACTCCCCACGGTGCATGTCATGACAGTGCGCGATCATTTTTTTGCTGTTCTTTGCTGGAAAGCCAGCTACTAGGCATTGAGCCTTTTCCATGCTCGAAAGGCTGGAACATGAAATAAACTCTCTGGAGATCTCCCCATGGACACCAGTGATAGTCCGATAACGGCCGTTTGTGTGAATTTCTTCTGTTTTTCAACCGTTAAACCTCTGTCAATCCAAGTTGATACCAAGATAAGGTTCAAGACGAAGAAGATACTCAAGCACCGGTCGTTGATGGAAAGCACACCAGTGTGGATCCTATCAGTCGTTGGAATGGTGAGCCGGGGTTCGATTCCCCGCCGGGGCATAGAATCACGGAGCCCGCTCTCTTTTTTCGTTTACCATCACCTGCCTACTCCGAGTCGCAGCCGGACCGAGGTGTAACTTACTCGTATACGTGTGACATTAAACTTCTGCCTTGCTGCATTATATTCGTGAGACGTCCAACCGTTTCCAGTTGATATATCAAAATCAGATTCACAGTTTGGGGTAGCTATCGGTGGTCTATGGAAATTAACATTATGAAAATTGCCAGTGTAATATGTCCTACCTCATACACGCTAAAACGCCTACTATGTACTAGGAGGGCGGCGGTGAAGGAGGATCCGAATCTTCAGAGCTCAAGCTGTCAGAAGAGCATGAGCGGCGGAGGTTAGACCTGATGCGAATTTCGTTCGCCAGGATTTCTTGCCCCAACGGTGTTTTCCAGCGTTCGTCAGTCAGCGGCACCGCGTCACGCTCGTCTCCGCGCCCGAAGCCTATCAGCTCGCCGCTGAGCTGCAGAATCTCCGCCTGGCTGTAGTCCTCCAAGATATCCCCGCCCAACATCGTGACGACCAGGGAGAATCTCAAGTGGTCTCGCAGGAAGGCGTCAGTCAGAGCGCCATGTTTGGGATGCCGAGGAAGGTGAGTCGGGAGAAGGAGCCGTGATGGACCCATGTCTCGGAAAACAACGATCCGATATCCATCGTCAACATCCACGCTGAAGCGGTTGCTGTGGAAATGGTATTTCAAGTCGGACCGCATCGTCAAGACATTCTGAGCGTCGACAAAATCCTTGTCGAGGGGCTCGTACCAGTCCAGTTTGGTCTACAGTCGCAAAAGGAGTTAAACCGTGACTCAAGTGCCTGGCGAAGGGAAACAAATACCTGGTTCCGATATGGGGATGGAAATATCCACGATAAGGCAATGCCATTCGTCGCGCCGGTTATGCGACACCTTTGCTTGTCCCGGGCCTTGACGCTCTCCTCAATTTCAGGAGGGAACTGATACTGGAAACACTGGTTAACAGGGAAAAAGGTAAATGTCAAAGAAAATACCATTCTGCGACGCTTCTCGTCGTCCAGGTTGCGTGAAAGGTCTTCGAAGCTGAGCGACCATCTTCGCACTTGCATTACGTCCACGGCGCCAGTCGGGATAAGCTCCGCTGTGTGGCGGAGAGTTAGGAACAAATATGGAGTGAGATATGTGCCGCTTACGGTCCCAGAAATGATACAGGCCATAGTTTCCAGCTGGTAGCAAAGCGGTGGAAGCAGGGTCAATGAAAGGGCCACTTGGGTCGATGTAGTATTCAAAGAGTCAGACACCGAGCCATACAACGTTGACGGGGCAAAGAACAAAGTCTCTTGGTTCGGGGTTTATTAGTCGTGCCCAGCGCTGGATTGTTGCACTAGAGACCGGGGTCAACTTTTGGTTGAATCCTGTGCCACTCGGTGAGTCAGCCAAAGCAGGAGGGTGGATATTTCGCACCGAGTACGAGCCGGGCGGGAGAAGGGTTGAGAGGTGCAAAAACGAAGGTGTCGCGAACGAGTTCCCGCGACTTTGCGGAGAGGACGTGTGGATGCTCAATGCTGGCCATGGTGGGAGATGTGAATGTGCCTCCAACTTCAAGCGCCGACGTGATTGACGTAATGTGGGTCCAGATTGCTTCCAATTTTTTTTTTTTGTGGAGCTTGAATTTTTTTTCCAAATTGCTCAAGACACAATATGACAGACAATCGCACTAGCGTAAGTACAGACGGAGGACAACAGTATCTGTTGTGCTCGTGGTGCCACAAGCTGTATTCGGGCGAAGGCGCGGAGTCCGACACGGGTTCGCAGATTCGGCCAACTTCCTTTGCCATTTTCCGCACGCATTGAGAGCAACGAGGATGGCGCACGGGCGCTTCCTCCGGGACACAATGGGCAAAACTGCCGCTTACGCCCCGCGCACCCCTTTCGATCGCGATGCACGCCCGACACACAAAACTATCACGCGAAGTCAATGTCCCGCTCAACATAGACGGTCTGCGTGCGATTCTTCTCTCGCCGATGGCTTGACCCCGATGCGCGCGATGGACGTCAGCTCTGCCGCATACGACACCCGCGGCAAACGGGCCAGTGCATGGCGCGACACAGGGGGTGGTGGCGTTAGTATAAGCCCGGGTCCGCCCCAGCATCCGGCGCCTGCGTTGCCCCAGCCATGGTAGAGGTGGGATCCACAAGGCCGAAACACCGCCCTGCGCTCCCTCGACCTCGCCATGCCGCTCGCCGTGTCCGCTCCTGTCGCATTGCATCCGCCCGCCACGGATGCCGAGAGAATACTCGGTGGGAGGGACGGAGGACGCCATCTTCGCGCAGTCGCCTGCACGTCTTGCGACTACGTGCAATTCGTCGCATCCTCGCCTTCCCCATCCTCTCGCAAACGCCGCCCCGAAAACATCGAAACCGCGGCGAACGGGCGCCCGGCGCTGCGTACTGCAGCCCGCGCTAGCACAATATCCACGCGCGCGTCGGCATCGAGGCCTGCCGTCCCCCGCCTGCATTGTCCTCAGTCCCCGCAGTGCCGCAGAGAAGGAGGATGTGATGAAGACCGCCCAACACCGCCCTCAAGAAATGACCAGTGTCGCGCACGGCGCGCCTCAATCTCCCGTTCCACACGAATCTCGACTCTCTTGACCCCATCCCGTACATATCGCACAGGGCCGGCGCCGCCTCGTCCTCCTCCTTCGACGCAGAGGCGACGTCACTGCGGAAGGTGGCCGCCGCTGGGGAAGCCGCACATACACCGCTGTATCTTCCACGCCGCACACTCGTTCTGCTGGTGATCCTCCTCATCCACATCCGAATCTCATCCCCACTGGCCGTGACATCCGCTGGCGCGAATTGCACGTCCACCCCACGCGCGGCGGACACGAAACACGGGGACACAGCAGCGTCGTCGCGAAACCGTGCGTGGTAGCAGGAACAGCTCCACGGCTGCGGCTGCGGTACAGGGTTCACAGATCTAGAGTTTTGTCGACGGGGTGCTAGCAGGGTGGTAGTGCATGCCAAAAACACGGACGCATACGCCGACACTATTGCGTGAGCCGAGGACGGGGCCGCAGAGAGTGATGAAGTCTGGGTCGACGACTCTTTACAAAGCGTTCCTCGCTCCGCGCGCACGCCCAGTCGTAATTCTGCGGTTCCTCATCGCGCACCCCACATCCATCCGCCACACCGTCAGCGCTAACACGCACGCACCGCCGCTATACTCGGCGACCCCACCCGCAGACGGCGTGGCGGGTCGCTGTCGTCGCCGCCGTGCGCGTCCTCAGTATGACCTCGCGACGTGGAGGGATATAGAGCTGGCTTTGAGGATGCTGCAGCAGGGGTCAGCGACGGTATAGTAGACATCTGCAAGGAAGGGAACATAATTCGCGCCCGATCCTACCCCGTCGCTCGCGCTCTTCGTAATATACAGTCGCTCTCGCTCTGGCTCAAGGACACTCTTCCACCACATGAACGCGCAGGGTGACGTAAACAAGCCCGCGCTCGGTTTCTGTCTTCGAGAAGTCTTCAGGCGGCACGACTGCATCTCCCGCTCCGCATATGTACTCGGTCTGCGGGCGATTGGCTTGATCCTGCTCCCGCTCCCCGTGCGCCCAAGGCCCTGCAACACGTTCGTACGTGCGAGGGCGGGGCCGCACTCCTGAAGATCGTCACCAGAGCTCTCAGCTGCATCTTCCCATCCTGGTCCTCATCGGCACAAGTCGCACGGTGTAGTCGTCCCGGCCTCATCGTCATCTTTGTGAAGAGCCGGCGACGTGGCCGCGGCGGATTATGTCGGTGCGCGCCGCTATTTCTTGAGAGCGATGAATACTGGTCTACGTCGCGGGTCAAGGGAGGAGGCAGTCGCTGGGGGCAGGGCTGCAGAGGAGGGCTGGAAAAACGGGTCAGCGACTGTAGTGTTCTAATGGGTGAAAAGAAAAGAAACGAAGGGGCAGAGAGGGAGATATATGGGAGTGCACAGCGCGCACGAGACGCAGCATATGAACGATGCGATTTGCGATATCTGGTCCGTCGAGGCCCGTGCTTCGAGCCATAGAATAAAGAAGGGAATCTCACCCATTGGTGCCCCCGATATGTACACCCCCGACTACGACGATGGCAAATCGCTGCGCCGTCGCCAGTCGATTCGTGGTGCGCTCGCGTGCGGCCCCTGCGGGGAGGTCGGCGGGCTGCGAAAGCGGGTCAGCGATGGCATCCACACATGAGAGGGCAAGGCGGCGATGTAGAGGGGAAGATGTGTAGCAGTATCGGTGCAGCACCAGCGCATGCGTAGCGTGCACGATCCTACTTGAGTGCAGACTACATCCTCGCCCGACAACACGACGGAGACGCGAACGGGACGCACTATTCGCGCTCTTCCTCCCGGCGATGGAGGAACGAAGAGTCAAGACACTCACCCGATCCATGAGAATAACGCTCTGCGGCGCGGAAGGTCGGGGAAGAAGGCGGGGTTGGCCAGCAAGAGACGGACGAAGTCAAGAGGTTTCTTCTGTTTGCAAATCGTGGATCCAGCGTTCGCGTCATCGACAACCCGAGCGGGGAACTAGACGATTTGGCCATCTGTAGAGATGGGTAGAAGGCCGCGGCCTGTCGTCGTCTCGGGCGATCGCTCATTGTTATCCTCGCGGTCGCGCACAGCCAGAAAGAGTGCTCCAGGGGGCTCATTGGGTTGCATTAGATGATCTCGAGTGGGTGGGCACCATGCGTTGTGCGGAGGGCGATGGTTGGGCCCGGGCCATTGCAGGACGACTGTTGGTCGAGTGCAAGTTTTGAGCTGGTCACGAGGCGAGCAAATAAAGTACAACAACGCGTCGCGTTCGGCATTATTCCAGCCTTTTCTTGGATGTTGGAACAAAGAGGCCCGAGCGATCTCGTCCGAGAGGGTACAGGGAAGTAACCGAACCGCAAAACAACCCTTCCAGACTGGTTTGGGTCTTCAAGCCATCCGTTGCACGGTGATTTATTTATTCTTGATTCGAAGTCGAATACTTACATGAAAACCATGCTTGTACCTCAGGATCTGTGCTCAATTGCTACGGAAAGAGATGGTGTAAGGATGGACACCGGTGGTGTATGGAACACGCACCCGCGCCATACCTTGTACCTTTTCAACACATTACAATGGTGAGACGGGGTTCGATTCCCCGCCGGTGCGTGATCAGGACCGTCGTTTATTTTTCTTTGCCCTACTCATCGACTAAGTGCGCAAATCGTTTGTTAAATTCCATGCTCGAAAGGTTCAAGGGGGGATGAATTTTAGGAGCATGGAACGGCCGCACTGCATCGTGTAAATTACAGGTTCCAACATTCCCCCTCAGCGTAATTTTGGCTCATTCAGAGTCAGCGAAACGCATTGAAAAGCTAAGGAAGTGTATGAGCATCGGTGGTGTATAAAACACGCACTAATATGATCATCGTATTCTTGAATTACATTGGTGAGTCGGGGTTCGATTCCCGGCCAGGGCATGACTGAAAAGGGTCAAGTCTTTTTGTCGACCCCTCCCTTACCGAGCGAGACGGCAAGAATATGTTGTCCTTCTTCGAGTGCAAAGGGATTTAGGACTCGCATCGGTCGTCGTGCGCAGTGAATCCTCCGGGCCGTGGCCGGGGTTCAAATTTGAGTTCGATTGCCCGTAGTGCTTCCCGATTCCCTTGTTGCAGCCTTTTGGGTAACGAGCTGGACGCGCACATGTCCATAAGGTTTGAAACGAAGGGTATAAGCACCGGTGGTGTATGGAACACACACGGACACGATTCGAGGTCGAACATCCATATTGCAACGGTGAGACGGGGTTCGATTCCCCGCAGGTGCGTAATCAGATACCAGCATTTTTATTTCCCATAGCGAATCGTGTCCATTCTCGGGGATTCGGAGAGACGAACGCTTGGTAGCGTGGAACGAGCATTGGTTTTTCGCATTTCCCTCTGCCGGTGTATAAACTAGACTGCACTGGCATTCCTCCTCCGCGTAATTTTGCCTCAATTGAGAGTTATGAGGTTTAAAGTGTTGAGAAAGGGTATGCGCATCGGTGGTGTATGGATACGCACCGATGAGATGAGCGGGGATTTTCGTTGCAATGGTGAGACGAGGTTCGATTCCTCGCCGGTGCATAAGAAGAAAGAATTCATGACAACTTTTTTTGCCGATCCCATTGCCTCCTATACCGAGTGAACTCACAAGACAGCCGTACTCGAGTGCAAGGGAATTTAGGACTCGCATTGGTCGTCGTGCGCAGTGAATTCTCCGGGCCGTGGCCGGGGTTCAAATTTAAGTTTGTCGGAAAAATCAAATTTGTCTGACCAGAGATGATCTGACCATATCAGGTTGGATCAGGCCGTCAGGTTTTTTCCGGGATGATAATGGTCGAACCAGGCATTATACATAATGTTTGCCTAACCTGATCAGACTAGGCTATGAAAGGCTTCAAAAATCTTACTCGTTGCCCTGCCTCTCACATTTCTTACCTTGCTTCATGTTTCTGAAGTGTTTGGTTCAATAGTAGTGTCAAGTGTTAAGTAAGTCTACAGCATGTAAGGAAGGAAGGAAGGTACGGTAAGGATTAGTAGTGGTATCTATCGAACAATAAGTGTACTCGCGTGGCACGTATACATGTGTATGGAAATTTTGGAAGGTCATCATCTGAGTTGTGTACCTTGCTCGGGCCACGGGTTGGCTCTTCACACAGGCTCCACAGCTCGCTAAATTCCCCCAAAAAATCAGTGCAAGCCTCGTAAACGGACCCAACGGGTCGGGAAAAATCAGCAACCTCTTGTAGGTAACTGACAAATAGTTACGCGATCGTATAGCGAGGTGGTAAAAAAAATGGGACCTGATACGACCTGATCAGAGCGTCAGGCATCGTCAGACTCTGATCAGGTAAATTTGGTTTTTCCGACGAGTTCGATTGCTCGTAGTGCATCCCTTATTACAGCCTTTTGCACCAAGAGCTGGATGCGCACATGTCCATAAGGTTTGAAACGCAGGGTATAAGCACCGCTGGTGTATGGAACACACACCGAAACGATTCGAGGTCGAACATCCATAATGCAACGGTGCGACGGGGTTCGATTCCCCGCCGGTGCATGTACCTCCTGGTAGGGATTTTTTTCTTTCTTTCTTTCCTGACATGCCAGCTACGGCATCGAATCGTGTTAACAGCCATCCGAGTGGATTTATTCCACTCGTGATTCTAGCTTGTGTTCAAATCGAGTTGGTACCAAGATCAGGTTCAAAGGAAAGGATATGAGCACCGGTGGTGTATGGAACACGCACCTGATTGATAGCCCAAAAATCTGCAACCGTTGCATGGTGAGACGGGGTTCTCGGATTCCCCGCCGGTGCATGCACCATCATTCCCCTGATACTTAGAGACTCTTTCTTTCTTTCTTTCCTGGCATGCCAGCTAAGGCATTGAATCGTGTCTATGCGCGAAAGGTTGAAGAAAACACACACTGGTCCAGCGGTGGGAGCCATCCGAGTGAGTTTATTACACTCGTGATTCCAGCTTGCGTTCAAATCGAGTTGATACCAAGACCAGGTTCAAAACGAAAGGATATAAGCACCGGTGGTGTATGGAGCACGCACCAAAACAATTTCTCCAGTCGATCCATCGGAACGGTGTCGAAGAACAACTCTGTCCGCTTGTGGACAGAATGAATGGGTCGGTCGTCCGGGTACGGGGTGTACGGGTGAAGCAGATAGTCGACAGATGGGTCCCAGAATGGCTCGTACGCGAGGAATAAGAAAAGCGCGTGAAAGTGGCGTGTGGGCGTGAGATACGCGTGGAAGGCGTAAGGACTCGAAGAGGACGGAAATATGGAGCTCAGGTGGAAGGTGTTCACTGGCGACGTACTCCCGGTGGAGTACTCAGGTCACTGGTCGTGCGGCCGCAGCGGCTCGTGGTGATTCGGGTGTAAGAAGGGTGGTATTTTTCCCTGTGTACGTACAAAACAAATACTCGGTCCGATGACCAGTGTACCGTAAGGTAAGTACCGAGACAGCCGGGAAGAGAGGGCGACCTGCGGTCCAACCTACCCTTCCACAACGGTGACGGGGTTCGATTCTGTTGGTTTTATCTCGTTGAAACCAATTTGAGGTATCACTCCTGGCTGTTAGGCCATTAGGTTAACAAGCTCATGAGGAGCTCTACTGTAGGTACTGTATTTATACTAAATGCAATTCCTTCCTGAATCTTCCACCGTGTTCCGTCTGGTTCGACATCAGTCAGCTTTTACTCAGCGGCTCGGTCATGCCTCGGGCATCTCGGGCTTGGGCTGGATTGCCAACTCCAACACTCTCCCTCAATCCTGCACAACATGAGATTTCCCATCTCTCCCTGAATCCTTCAACTCTTCGTCGTCGAGCTTCCAAGCTCCGTTTCGGCTTCTTCGGCATACGGCGCCAACCGTGATTCCATCAAAGAATTCCTTCTTTCATCGTTCGACGTGAATTCCTCTCCACATCTTCTCTTCTTGGGGTCCTAGACTGCTTCCGTGGGATTGGCACGTCAGACAGCACTTCGGGCGCTTCACAGACTCTCGAGCATAATTTAATATCTCGGTCGATGCCTGGCTTGACACGTTCAGCGGTACTGGCCTGCACTTGCCCCCAGTTCTCTCCGGGTCTGGTCAGAGGTGTGCCCTGCACTTGACGGTCTCTTCTTCGTCTATATCTCTTCCACCTCTTCGTCTCCCTCCCTGGGCTCTCTCGTGGCCGTGCGATGTGATGCGGAGGACGAGTGTGGCTGTGAGTGATAACTATGAGCTTGTGTTGGTTTTATCTCGTTGAAACCAATTTGAGGTATCACTCCTGGCTGTTAGGCCATTAGGTTAACAAGCTCATGAGGAGCTCTACTGTAGGTACTGTATTTATACTAAATGCAATTCCTTCCTGAATCTTCCACCGTGTTCCGTCTGGTTCGACATCAGTCAGCTTTTACTCAGCGGCTCGGTCATGCCTCGGGCATCTCGGGCTTGGGCTGGATTGCCAACTCCAACAGATTCCCCGCCGGTGCATACATCCGGAAGTCGATTTCCTTTTTGGCATTGCAGGATTGTATTGGCATTTGAGGGCTGTAAGTCGCAGAGCTCGCGTCAAGGACTCTGAATCCCGAGGTAAATGTCGAAGAAAAGGATGGGTATAACTTCTTGGCTCATAAGGTTTTATAAGCCAACAGCCAGTTTGCGACGAGGAGATGGAAAGACCGGAAAAGCATCTCATCCTACTATCTCAACATACATCGGAGCTACTCGTTTTTAAAATCCGGGGCGACTTGAGACGTGCGACTTCAACTAAGGGAACGATTCGCAAAGGTCTAACCGCAGGAGGTTCAGCAAGAGCTGGGTCATATAAATTTCGGTACTCGCCGCTGCTTCCCTGGGGCCAGGCATAAGACCGATTGTTCTCGTCCACACAAGTCACCCGCATTTCCAAGCCTTGTGCTATCAGCTTGTCGAACTCGATGATGGCGGAAGGTGAAAGCCAGCACTCCTTGTCCAATGAGTTCTCGGACCTTAGATCGAGCCGTGCAAAGGCCAATCGAACGCGACCTGGGAAGGGGGCACGCCGTTCGCGGAGGAGCTGGATGAACGCTAGATAGTCGAAGCTTGAATGCTCGGCAGATACCCGAAGGGTGGTGAGCTGTGGGAGAAGTGCAGGATCTTTCTCGAGCACTTCAGTGAAGGAGTTCATGTAACACTGTACATAGACGGTTAAGGACGTCAGAGACGGCAAGGCCCTGAGAACCTCCGGAAGTCTCAATTTTGGGTCTGTGTAATCAAACTGAATGGCAAGGTGTTCGAGGGCACAGCGCCAGCGTTGGATCAACGGGAGGAGATGGCTGTAGTAGCCGAGTTTGAGACGCCGGAGGGCGGGGAGGGTCAGAAATTCAAGACGGGTGAGTCCGACGATAGCCAGGGAGTGGAGGAGAGGCAAGGTGGTCGGTGGTTGATCTTCCAATCGGCTAGGGCGATCCACATGCACCGTAAGATCCAACAGCTTTGGGCATTGTCGGAACAAGTCCAAAAGGGAGGAGAATGGAATTCGATGCCGAATTTCGAGGGTGGTCAACGATGGTGAGAGGAGTGAGAGAGGGGTAGAATCGATTGTCAAATTTGTCAGTGACGGCGCATGTTCCATAATCGAGGGGCATTCATCCTCAAGTGGCGAAACTAGTGCGAGCCGCTGCAGACCGGGGAATGCAACATGCTCTTGCTTGATTATATCGAAGTCGTCTTTGAAAAGCTCGAGCTCGAGGGTGTGAATCTGTGGCGCAGCAGCGCAGATGAGCGGGATGATGGATGAAGGGATCTCGTGGCGCTGGGAGCGTACTGTGAGCGAGAGCGGCTGCCCTTTGGCTCGTGAGAGCCACGTCTCGATGGTGAGGGCAGCACCCTCTTTGGGTACCTCCGTGCTATCCCTAGGCTGATAGGCGAATGCAACATCCACAGAGCTCCAAAGCTGGCAGGTATGCAGAGCGATTTCTCGCCAATCGCGGCAAATCTGCGCCAACAAAAGTGGAGGAGCCGTCGGAGAGGGCTGCACTCGTCCATGTACCGGCAAGCACTCGACGAAAATTCGAGCGGTTATCTCTGGAGGAAGCGAGAGAACGGGATACACTATTTCAGCCAGTTTGATCTCTAGAGTGCCCCGCTTTGCTTTGAGCTCTGAGATGTATGTCTGGTGTCGCAAGATTTCGAGATTGACCGACTGCAAATCGGCGCGTAGCTCGGATGGAGAAGAGGAGCTGAGAGAGCTAGAAAGGGTCGTCGGAGCCAGGGATGGGGCATCCCCGCTGCGATGCCCACATCGTTCGCAGATATTCGACATGGGTGTGTCGGTTAGAGATGCGATCGATATGTGATGGCAATCCTGATCATCGGCCCGAGCTACTCCTACCTCTTGCCTCGATCTGCCTCAATTTCAACCTCATCTGAGAGCTTGCGTAGAAGCTACGCATATGTGGAACAGGAAGTGGAACCCGAGACTACGAGAATTATAATGCTTCTAAATCCGGGGTTTCGTGGCAATGGCACTGGCTGTGTTCCATACACCATGCCCAAATTACCTTGCCTTACCTCTCGACTCCTTGAGCCTGTTGGTTCGCAAGAAT